ATATGTGGACATAGGAGATGACAATCCCAATAAAGCAGGCAAAGCCCGTTGCAGCCAGAAAATCAGCCACTGCCATTATTACAAGGTAATCATTAGAGCAGGAAAGCTTGAGCAACTGGGGAACATCACAGAAGAATTGGTGAATTTTTTTGGCCTTACAAAATCTGATAGAGAATATAGTTGCTATATACAAGGTCCCTGGAACACCACTGCTTAGCCAGACAATTGTCACAACCCACCTACACTTTCTGGGACTCATGATGACCTCATAGTGGAGTGGAAGGCAAACAGCTACATAACGATCATATGACATCACTGTAAGAATGGCCAACTCACCCCAGGTAAAAGCTGAAAAGAAAAAAATCTGCAGCATGCACTGGCCATAAGAAATGTATCCACTTCCTGCCAGGGAACTCTCAATATACTGGGGAATTGTGACAGAAAGAGATGAGAGATCCAGAATGGAAAGGTGCTTCAGAAAGTAATACATTGGAGACTGGAGCTGTGGGTCCAGAGTTGTGATGTTGATAATGATGAAATTCCCTGCTGAGCCAAATAGGTATGTCACCAAGAAGAGCAAAGCATGCAAGATCTGCAGCTCATGGTTGTCAGAGAACCCCATGAGGAGAAATCCGCTTACTGAGGTTATATTTTTGACAATCATTTTGAAAACAGAAATTGTGGTTGCAGCTAGAAAATAAAACAGTAAAATAAGTGTATTAGAAAGACATTTAGCCAATATTTATCTGTCCATCTATATTTCAATAATTACTCTATATATTCTATCATCTATCTATCTATCTATCTATCTATCTATCTATCTATCATCTATCTACCATATATCATCTCTCTTTCATCTATCATCTATCTATCTATTTATCTATCTTCTATCTCATCGCTTCTCGGCCTTTTGGCTAAGATCAAGTGTAGTATCTATCTTCTATCTCTATCATCTATCTATATTGTATCATTGAAAAATTTGAGAGCACATTTTTCTCATCTCGTTAGATCTCATACTATCCACTCGTAAAGCAGTAGCAACAGTTGTACACATGGTCCATCATTGATCCTTCTCAAGGAATGTGGTTTTGTTTGTTCCATGTAAAAGCACTGTTCCACTGTCACAATTGAAACCCATTGCTTTTTTAAGTCATCAATATTCAGTCTGTGATGGACTGTGGAATGAGTTTTTTAAGATAGATAGGATTGATTATGTATAGCTTAGACAGGGTACTGTGTTAGCAAATGATATAGGCATGTAGCAAAAATATACCAGGAATTAAAATATGGTTTGATTGTTCATTGGAAACAGCCATTCTCTCTTAGAACACAATAGCGTCATTATAACAAGAGGATATTGATTATTGTAGAGTCAAGTGTAAAAATGATTTTGAAGATTATGCAAGAGTTACTGAAATCAATAAGAAAAATAATTGTGGAATACTCACATGACATTGTCAGTTAAGATATCCTATTTCATTTAAAGGAGATTTTAGGGGACAAGCAGCTTCTATTTGAATTCTATTAATATTTAAGTGCTGTCAATAGTACTTGCCTTCAGGATAGCCACTGAGGAGTTATTAGCTCTTATTAAAAGCAACAACAATTGCAAAGACTTATGGTGATTTCTTGAGATGGTTTAAGATGCAGAGGAAAATAGCCAATATCCAATGAGAGATTGCAAATTTTAAGTATTTATGTTTTCAGTAGAAGTCATGCTTTAGTTCATGGTCCTTTTGATGTTTGAAGGATTGAAAATAACCCATCATTCTCACCTTGCAAGACGTTTGGAGGCCGATGAGAATTTAATGGGGTGTCAGCTTCCTGCATGTTTTTTTCCATTAGTGAGTTCTAGTTAACAAAAGCAAATGAAATATCATTACACATATTCAAGTTTACTTAAAAATTGCATGCTTACAAATGTAATTGCAAAACAAAATTTGATGTCACTATTTTCAATGTTGAGGTATTTTTCATTTAATGGCATCTCTCTTACGACAGGAAAAACTCACTCCAGATCCCTCACACCTCTTTCTTAAAGAATGAACCTACATCCAAATACCCTACAATATGTTTGGATTTTATTGTAATTAATGTGGTTATAGAGCCAACTATGACATGAGAAAATGAGTCCCTGGACCTATGGCAGCAGCATACTGAATTCAAACCAGTGTGAGCTCCACAGAAAGATCCTCTATCTATAGCAAAATAAATCAGTGTTAAATAAGTAGAAACTTTTGTTTCATCTGACACAACTTTTGTGTTAGAAAGCCTCTTATCTCCTGTTTTGTGTACTTCAGTTATAACTTGGATCATTCTATAATATCCTGATAGTTTGATTTTTTTCAATATACACAACAGAAATCAGAATAAATCAAAGATTTCCCTTATGTTTCTCAGTTTTCATCTTTTCAAATTCTGTGTTTTGATAGTGTTTCTTTGAGGTTAGTCAAATGATGAACATATTTATAATTATTGTTCATAATCAATTTTATATTGGTTAGTGTAAATTAACATTTTAATCTGAAAATCAGGTTAGTTTAGTTAATATTAATATTTTAGTCAACAAATTAAACCAGTACCCTGAAAGTTGAGAAAGCTAAGTAATATTGATCATTCATGTAAACGAGATAGGAGGCACGTTTGAGTCCTTCCTAAAAGAGTTCTCCATTGATTCACAGAGGTAGTTTAATCGGATTGGAGTTAAACATTTTAATAGGAAAAATTTGAGCATTAGTAATTTAAGTAATAATATTGCCATTGAGTTATAAAAATTTACACATATCAAAAAACACATTGAGCTTGTCTACCTTGGGCTATCTCTTTTGGTGACATCTGAGAACTGTTGAAGAAGTGCTTTAACTGTTTACAGAAGTGTCACATAAGCAAGACTGCAAGATGTTAACTTCTTTCATTCAATAGTCTTCTCACATGGTCCCTTATCATATTTATATGAATTTTAAAAACTTGTTTATTTTCACTAAGGTACCCTTGCTTCTTTGTTCTAATAATAGCCTTGCTTTCCCAAACAGCTACAGTGTATGATTGTGTTAGAATTTCCATAAAATACTTATCTTTCCTTATCCATGTTCAGGAAACTCCAGGATGATTTGTTGTGCTGGTGGCTCTCCAAGCTGATCAACAATTTCTGATATTTCTTGTCCATGATTGCAGACTTTTAATTGTATTATGTCCCTGGAGAACAAATATAGTGAGCTGTCTTCTTGGGGAGAGGAGATGGACTTGGAAGTGTACTCTATTTTGAAATGGAAATTTGGACTTAGACAAAGTTACTTCATTTACTCTGACCCCATGTCACTTGGGACATGGAGTCCATAGATTTCCACACAGCTGTTGAATGGTTTTGTGATTTTGGGGTTCAATTGTCCATCTCAGTGGTTTTCAGTCCTTAGTAGACCTGTAAATCTCCAGAGAGCTAATTAGAGCTAAGAACTCTGGATACTACATTGAGTGTCTCTCATTCAGTCATTATAGGCAATAGCTCACAGGGGCAGTTTCTGGTCTGAATACCACAGGTAGAAGGCTACTTTACAGAAAAACTGAACATTTCTGTTAGAACTAAAACAGAATATATACAGCAAAATATCAGAATTTATAAGAAGAATTTAAAATATAAGAAATTATACATTTGTCAACCATAGATTATTCTATCATTTATTTTCAAAAAATTCATAATTTATCAGACTAATGGAGGAAATCTAAATGGGGCAAATATTCCTTCTATGTAAAGTTTAGAGCTCATCTTAGGAAATCATCAGTACAGATGAATGTTGAGTGTGGCCAAGTCACAGGTGGTGCCAAACAAAAATTGGTTTGCATCTTAAAAATTACTATTTCCTTTATGGAGAAAATAAAGCATTACTTTGTTTTGCTTCAAATAAAATCTCATGACTTCTTGAAAGTCACCAACAGAAATGCAATTACAGGATTTTGCCAAAAGCTTTCTGCACATTTGATGGGTAGCATTGTGAAGGACTTTGCTTAATTTAAAGCATCAGTTAGTTGTAGATGGGTGATACCAAAATCCTTTCCTGAAAACAATGGAATTGAGGGAGAAATGGATCATGATATTAAATTTTCTATTACTATTTTTTCCATTGCTGGAGAATAAGCCCAGCTGTGCTACTAAGCTATATCTCTAAAGCTATTCATAAATAGATTTCTACACTGATAAGAGACCCAGGTAGGTTATCGTCACTGTTCTTCCAGACCTCCATCACCAATGCTCCATCTCATTCCCATTGTGCAGCAGGCAGCTTGTAGAGGCCTGTCTGCCCTCTGTACTTCCCTTGTGGACTCCCATATAACACATGTGGAAGCTTCTCTGAAGATGCTGAGCAAGGCACTAGTCTACAAAAATTGTAAAATGCTCCAAGTAGTAATTTTATTGCTATATCCCTTTAGCAGTCCTGGGTTTATATCAATGTCACTAGTCTCAGGTTCTTGGTCATTCAGTAGTGTCAGAAATGGGTTCCATCTTGTGAAATGGTTGGTTACTCCTACAACTTATGTGCCAATTGTATCAATTTATTTTACATATATTTTACCATTGTAGATAGAAAGGTTTGTGTCTGGGTTACCATTTGCCTTTCTTCTCTGGAAACTCTTCAGTGTACACTTCAGTGTTTAGTACCACAAAATTCAATCTACAGGGGTGAAATGCCATTAAATTAATTCATTTCTGCTACTATAAGGCCCATTTGGGGAAGAGAGATGAGTTCTCTCTCCTCTGTTATTTGCCAATTTTATTGGTTGCCTTTATATATGTATATATTTTAGGAAGCTTCTACTGTATTAGGTTTCCATCCCACCCTTCAACTGATGTATAGATTTATTTGTTTCTTCTTGCATTTCCTCTCTCGCCCTCCTTTTCCCTTCCTCTCTGTGTTTGATACTCCTGTCCCAGTGCCTGCCATATACACCCATAACTATCTACTGTGTTTCCATTCTTAGGTAGATACACTCTCTAGTTCCTTACTCTGTACCTAACTTTTGTAGCTATGTAGACTGTAGCTAGATTACCAGTGACTTAACAGTCAGAATTCAAATACAAGTGAATATATACCATACAAATTTTATCTTCTTGGGTCTGGATTATATTATTCAGGATGATTTTTTAACTCCTACCATTTCCAGTGAATTTCATAATTTTATGTTCTAATGAATGAGAAATATTGCATTGTGGTAATGTATCACATTTTCTTCATCCATTCATCCATTAACAGTTTCAAAACTCTGGCAGTTATGATTAAAGCTTACATGAACATGGCTGAGCAATAATCTCTGTAGTAGGATTTAAAGAACTTTGTGTGTTCCCAAGGGTTTTATAGCTGTATTCTAAGACATATCTTTTCCCAACTTCCCAAAGAACATCCAACTGATTTTGTAGTAGGAGTAAAATTGTACTCCTATAAACAGTAGATGGATGTTCCCTTTACTGTAAATTCAGGGCAGCATGAGCTGTAGGTTTGGTTCCTGTACATATTTTGCCTTTCAATATAACCTATTTATGCACAGAAACAGATTAACAACTAATCATGGAACAATAAAAATACACAGAATCAAGTTCTCAGTACTATATGCTTGTTATTTGTAGACACTGTTAAAGAAAATAAAGTGTGCTTGAAACATTTATAGCAGTAA